ACTGTAACTATTACCTCCATTGCCATCACAAGTTGTATTTTTATGCAAATAAAACATGTATTATGATTTTCTGCAAACACCACAATGCTCTTGCATGCTATTTTCCTATGTGCACTCTGCATGTTATACGCTTGTGCACATATGTACAAATGCTGTATGTGAAAAAATATGTACATCCCCTGGACCAGTTTATGTGCCCCAAAGAACCATTTTCTCTTCTCAGGAGGCCCTATCTGATCCTCCATGATTTAGAACTTTTATCAGTCACAAGGTAGGCCACTCCAGGTAAAGGTCAACCGAAGCAGAAAAGGACATGTGGCAGGGCAACCAATCCAAGTATATTAATATGAGTTTAAATGCTGAGGCACTCGGTTTGTGCAAGGCTGTGGTCTATAGCTGAGTTCCTACCTCTATCTTTAGTCTTGATATCAGGTCAAACTCCATTTTAAGTTGAGTTACTTCTCTAATGCTTACTAACCTTTAAACAAACTATTATGCAGCTAAAGAAATGTTTTTCTTTATGGTCAGGCTCAGATGTAGCAAAGTGTACTCTTTGAAAAGGTCTTGATGAACTTTATCAGTTATTTCCTTCACAAGCAGATGCCAGGAATATTGTGTGCCAAAGAAATACCTTAACATCTTGTAACTTGGGAAAACACTTCTTGTGATATCTTGATGATTGCCCATCTTGATGACTGCGTCCCCCAGCAAAAAAAAAAAAAAATGGAATACTTTTGAAATCCCTGCAATTATAAACTACATCTAGCGAAAAACTCACTTGAAACATCATGCCTCTCCAATAAAAAAAACACTGTAAATTAAAATTCCTTATTTAGCCCTATACTAATAAACATATTTTAGGAGCTCTGCTGGCTTACTGCCTAAGGTATTTTGACTGCTAACCATAAGGCTGGCTGTTTAAACCCACCAGCCACTCCTCAGAAGGAAGATAGGGCAACCTACGTTCATAGTGATACCAGCTCGGAAACCCAAGGAGGGGTTGCTATGAGTTGGATCCGACTCAATGGCAGTGAGTTTGGTTTTTTGGTTTGGAACAAATGTGTTGTAGTTGCTCTGCCTCAGACTGCTTGATTTCACTTCTTCTTTTCCACATAGCTCCTTGGTTTAAATCACACAAATAACAAAAAGTATAAACATCAACTATAAGACAAAGCTTCCTCCTTGTCAATCCCAGTAAAGGTTTGGACTCAGAACCATGATTAAAAGCCAAACTGCTTTCTGGCAAGGTGAATCCATACCATGTTCTCTTAATGATTTAACTTGCTGTTGTTGTTGCTGTTTGCCGTCGAGTCGGCCCCAACTCATAGCGACCCCTCCTTGGGTTTCCGAGGCAGTATCACTACGGAAGTAGGATTGCCCAACCTCCCTTCCAAGGAGTGGCTGGTGGGTTTGAACCGCCAGCCTTCTGGTGAGCAGTCAAGTGCCTTAGGCACTATGCTACCAGAGCTCCTTAACGATTTAACTAGTTTTGATTATTTCCACTTTGAAAACTGTAACTACATAACTGGAAGAACAGTAAGAATTTCATTTTTAAAATCAAAGATATTTTGGACTGTATAGTTTGTTGATTGCACTAAGTGACAGTAAACTACATAATTTTTAAAGAAGTTAAATTTTTTATGGGAATGTTATCTTCATAAGAAAAAAAAATAGGTACCTCAATTCTCCCATACAGTTCTTTTTGACTTTTGATAACTTTTACACTTTTACCTAACTTCTAATTTTCACTGTGAAAACAGACCACTCTTGAGAATAATCAACCATTCAAGGATAGAGTTCAGAAGGAAGAATGGAAATGGAAAACACCAAGGCAGTGGGATGTTATACTGTGGTGACTGCAATCAATGACATGAAACAAAATGTGTGAACTGTTGAGTAGAAAATTGATTTGCTCTATAAACCTTCACCAAATCCCAACAAAAAATTAAAAAATAGTGTGTTAAAAAGTCAACCATTGTTGTTAGGTGCTGTCAAAGTAGACCTGTCCATAGGGTTCTCTAGGCTGTAATCATCAGATCTCACTCTCACCACCTATAGAAGTAGTGATAACCTCCAATAACTCAACGTTGTGGGTTTCTACAGAAGTGAGTTTTTAAGTGCTCTCAAAATCATTTCTTGATGGAAAACTTATCCTCAGGGGAATTAAAAATGCTAATAAATTCTTCATGATGATGAAAAGAAAACAATAAATTCCAAGGATATGCCCATTAAAGAACTTCCCAATGACCTCTTTCCTAAAATATCACTTGCAAATTCATAATTTTATCAATATAGTCACAAAATTAGGCAATTTGTATTCCACTGCTCCATAAAATGAATTAAGAAATGGGGAAAGGAAGAAAATTCACTGTATTTTTAAGTTTATTAGATTTAATAAAACTGCACAATTTTTTCTTAAGAAAAAGCATTAACTTAGTACCGGTATCAAACAGACTAAACATCAACAGGAAAATATTTTGATTTCTATTTTTGTATGTTTTTCTCAAGTACACATTTACAATAGTGTCACATTTCCCTATGAGGATTTAAGTATTTTATACTGAAGTATTTTACAATGTGTACAGAGAAGGGACACACAATATTTAATAGGATACTTCAATAGAATAACTTATACTACGTTCTTGTAAATATCTGTACCTCTTTAAAGCATTTAACTGAAACATCCCTTTTTAGCTTTGCTAATTAAATTGCCTTAAGTATAAAACGAGCCTGTAACAAATCTTAGTACATAACAGTAAGTAAATTTTTTTATACATGTTTTATCATACTCACTTGACCAAACCCTTTATTACATTTAAAGGCTTCAGTATTGTGCTTATAAACAAACAAACTGTAATGACTCCAAACTATGTAAGAAAAACATGAAGTATGTAAAGTGTTGTGTTCTTTATCTTTCAGTTCATTAAAAAAAAATAATAACTATTTCTATTGTCCATATTAATTTCATAGAATGTTTGCAAATACTTAACTTTCAATTTTTATTTAACTATTTTCTTTTGTTATTTTAGGGAAAAATCAAAATCAAGGGAGATTTAGAAGACTCACCCAGAAATAGTGATGAGAACAACAGATAACCTTTAAAGGTATGGGGTTAATGTGGTATAAAGGATTCCAAAATTCATGGCTTGACTTCAATTAACAATAGATCTAAATTCCTACATGTCTAACGCTTTCATTTAGAAACAAACTAAATTAATCTAGCATTTCAAAGGCTGCAAACACGAAATATTTGCATTTCTAACTTCTGTAACTCTTGACTATAAAATCAGTGGCACAGAGAAAAGTTAAATGATAAAAACCTGACAGCAAGAATAGAATGAAGCACATATTTAAGGGGCAAAGCAGGTGTTACATGGCAAGAAAAACTTCTAATCTCTCACAATGTGCCAGATATGTACATATGTTGCCAATAGTCAATTTAAATAATCTAAAAAGTATTTTCCATTTTCAAAAATTCTCAACACAACCAAATTCTAATTAACTGTTCAAATTCGTTTTCTATTATATCCATGTTTATAATTAACTGGTTAAAATATGTCAACCCTGAATAAAATATAAAATTGTGAAAGATGTGGTGATGTAAGATCTCAGATTCTTATTATACATTTAAAATACACCTTTATCTTCTTATCAAAGCCATTTTTAAGTCTTGTATCTGTTGCTGTCTCTAAGAAAGAACAAAGCATACGAATTTGCCAAGTATAAGTCATTAATTAACATCCATTCTCTGTTACATATGTTGTTAATTCCTCAGTTCCCCTTGGTAAAAGTAAGGGCTCTCAGAATGAACTGATGATTACTACTCAAAAGGCTTTCAACAAAATACAAGGTTATGAAGCCAAAATTACATGAAAAACATTTTACCTAGAAATACCTTAATTTCTGTTTTTCAGTTACCAAAGAGATTTAAAAGAAAATAACATTACTCTTTAAAGATGCTAAAAGAAACTACATCCTTTTCCTTCTAATTTCTGCACCTGAGTTGTCTTTCTGAATAGAGCAAGTTTGTAAAATACTCTGTCATGAATCCCTGGGTCTTTCAGGTTACTATAAATTGGATCCTTTTTATTAGAGATTTGAAATTTGGGATTGTGTGTGGAAATATGCAAAAATATAAACAACACACACACATGACATATAGAGAATAAGTTACACATTAAATTGCAAAAGATGCTGTGGGCCCAATTTGCCTCAAAATATTCCGAAGTTTAGTCTACAGTAAATATAATTTTCAGAACACAACCATTCCACAACCAACAGCACAGACAGAACAATAAAACCAATATAGGAATGAGCAAAACTTTTCAGTAAGATTATCTACGTTTGCTCTGCTGTAAACATAACACAACAACAAATGGCAAAGAGAATATATTTTTCTGCTAACCAAAAGGAAAAATAAATACAAATCCATCTATTCTTCTATGATCAGCAATGCTTAAGACTCAAATGTAAAGTTTCATTGTCATGTGATCTAAAAATGTTAAGCAAGGCAAGGCAATGACTTTTGTATTATAGTATAGCTGACAAAACAATCTCCCCTATGTAAAAGCAAATGTCTGTATTTTACATAAAATTTTTTGAGTGTGGTGAGGGGGGCAGTTAAAATAATTGTTTTCAGAAATCCCAATCTTAAATTATTTTAGTATTAAGTGAACTACTCTTAGAAGAATACCATGAAGGTGAAAAAAATATTTGAATATATAGTAAAACTTCTAAGATTGAAAAATCCAGAATAGGATTAGGGCTTACTTACTAAAAGCAACTTAACTGTCACTTTTCCGTAATTATTAAACAAACCGAATCAAACCCAGAACACCTTGTTGGTAATATATAAAGAAAAGTCACCTAGAGTCAATAACCCTAATGGTACACAGCATAACTCAATGAATGTACAGTATTTTATGTGAAATGAGACTGAGTTTAAAATGAATTTTCTGCTTCAAGGCAAATATCTCTAACAAAAGTCTATAGAAATAATGCTAGGGAAGGCCTATTTCTTTATGATGCCGTGTTATGTGCTGGTTCTTTTCTGAAGGCCTTCGGAACCCTTTCTTGCAGTATTCACAACGGTGAGGATAGTCTTTTGTATGAATGGAAATAACATGTCGTTTAAAGCCTGAGGCATCTGTAGTGCTATAGTCACAGTACTCACATTGATACACTTTCCTGCCAGTATGTGTCTTCATATGCTTTTTAAGCTCATTCTGTTGCCGAAATCCCTTTCTACATCTCTTACACCTAAATGGAAGATCCTTTGTGTGAACTGAGAGAATATGGCGACTCAGAACAAAGGGATCTGCAATCTTAAAGTCACAATGTCTACACTGGTGCAATTTTTTACCCTTGTGGGCAGCCACATGTTTCTTGAGTTCTGAAGGCCTATGAAAGCCCTTATCACACATATCACACTTGTGGGGGTAGTCCTTTGTGTGAACTGAAATTACGTGTCGTTTCAAATCACTTGAGTTCGAACTCTTATGGTCACAATGCAAACACTGGTGTGTTTTACTTTCTTGATGAAGAAGAGAATGTTGCTGCACATCTTTGGTATCTGAGAAAGTCAAAAGACAAACGTCACACTTGAATGGCATCTCTTTACTATGCTTAGTTTTTACATGAGTTTTCAAGTTAGAAGAATCTGCAGACCTATATTCACAGTACTGGCACTGGTATGGCTTCTCCCCAGTATGGATTCGCATGTGCTTTCTGAGCTCCGATGGGTGACGAAAACCTTTACCGCACTCCACACAAATGTGAGGGAAGTTCTTGCTGTGGACTGCCAAAAGGTGGCGATTTAATAACCCTTGCTCAGCTGTCTCATATTCACAGAATTTACACTTGTGCATTTTGTTGGCTCCTTTTTCCTGATGCACCATTTTGTGAGTAAACAAAGCCCCAGTATGAGAGAAATGTTTCCCACACTCATCACATTCAATGGCCTTCTCGGCCTTGCTGGTCAGCTTGTGGCTCTCTAGGTGGTTGTGTAAACTTATCTTCTTGTTGGTAGTGTAATCACAGTCAGTACAGTGGTATTTCTTCTTGGTCAGGTGTTCAGGATGGTTTTTCATGTGCCTTTTCAAGAAACCTCTTGACTTAAACTTCTTCCCACAAATCATGCAAGGGTAGACAGTCAAGGGATGTCCATCAGGGCCAATAATTATTGCTAATGAAAGGAAAAGGAAGTCAATGAAGATCAACACTCTGTTCACTTTTGTTCAAGAATTTAAGTTTGCATTCAGGTTAGTACTCCTAAATTACACTTTTTGCTACTTACTGTTTCTTTTATTGCTTTTTCAACATAAAAGACAGAGTAACATAGTTATAAAGAGAATCTAGTCTGGGAACTTTATTCAGTATTACAGCATGAACCACATTCCCTCCACTCTAAAAAACATTAATCAATAACTAGTGACTACATTTACATCAATTTAGACATCTGTAGAAAATCATTTATAAAATTAAAACTGTTTCTGCTTTTATTATTGAAAGAAACTTATGCTTAAAGTTGAACCATACCTATACAATTCTTAATATGCAGATAAGTATATGCACAAGAATATACAAGAAAGGAATTTGTCCTACGAACAAGTACTTGTCCTTCTCACAACTGCAAAATGCAACCACTTCCGTGGAGTTGGATCTGACTCATAGCGACCCCTTCATTGACTTTCCTAGGCAGTATCACTACAGAAGTAGACTGCCCAAGCTGCTCATCTATAAATTATACTTGCTTAAAACTAACATTATTATATTTTTTAATTTATACACTTTAATTATCCTATTTTAGGGATTTGTTTCCATTTCTAAAATTACTTAAGATTTCAAACATTTTCCTGAATGTTTTATCCACAACTTTTAAACCATTCATGAATATCTCTGAATAAAATTACATTTTTTAATTTTAAAACTCAATATGAAAAATCTATATGAGGTCTAGCAGCTATAATGTCATCACAACACTTCCTATGGATACAAATGGAAGAGTTCAATTCTGGGAGCTGGCAGAGAATACTACACTGGGTAACTTGTTTGCCCTCACCTGTTTGGTACTGCCTGGAATCAGGTCTTCTTCTTTTCTTTGGTTTTTGTTTAGCCAGTCTGCCAAGCCCAGCAGACTCATCTATGTGCAAGAGGGCACTTGCAGTGCCATTCTGGTTTTCAATTCCATCAGAATTATTACCTAACAATATGCATTAGAAAACAAATTATACAGTATTATAAATATAAACAATTAGGGATTCTTTATTAATTATAACAATGAAAAATAAACCATGATACTCATGAATGACCAAAATTCCTCATTCTCTGTAAGCACTTTTATGAGCATGTTTATAGAGACAGTCAAAAATGCCTAGCTTTCAAATCTAAAACAAGCACGTCAGCATTTTGCTCCATGGATTCTCTGGTTGTCTCCAAAACTGTTATGCCACGGGCCAGATATAGTATCATTGATAAAATTTACAGCTTGAAAGCCTATGTACTTTTGCAGTAGTTCCTTCTATGTAACATACACATAAAAGAAATGTTAAAGACAAAAAGTAGATTTTATAATGTTCTTCTATTCTTGCTTAAAACACAGTATTATATTTCAGGTATGTGAAATCTAAGGTCATGAATTCAAGTCAAAAACTAATGCAAGCCTACAAGTGGCTATGTGACTTACCATAAGCAGCTGCCCATGCTATTGGCATGAAGGTTTTAATTTCACTGTTGTCCATTTGCTGTTCATGCACAGCGGCAGCTGCAGCTGCAGCAACAGCAGCATCCTCTTCTCCAACAATCACTTCCATATAAACTTCATCAGCAATTTCAGCAATATCTAAGTACAAAATAAATATTTCTGTAACTGTAATTACAGAGATCACACAGAAGATATTGGTTTAAATTTTGTTAACAAAGTTCAAATGTCACATTCCCAGAACATTGCTTTCATACAATAATTATTCAACAAATGAATCATTAATTTTTGACTTCCACTGTATTTTTTTAAAGCAACATTTAAGCATACATAGTCACTGATATTCATCACTGGAATACGGTAGCATAATTATCTCTGTAAGAACACTGCTGTTTCTTTCAAACACTGGTTGCAAACAAAATAAAACAGACAAAAAAACAACTGATATAAACACAAAACTGTCTCCCACAGGAAAGTCACCTACTTACTTAAATCTTCATCATCTTGCTGAGAGTCATTTACAGTCATATACACCATCTTCTCCCTTGGAACACGAATACTGTTGTTCTGTTCGAGTATTTCAACTCCATGATCATTCTCAGGCTCACTCTCCACAATGTCTACTGTTCCACCTATTAGGGAAGATGAGAGCTTCAAGAATTTATTTGAAAAGTTCATTACCTGTTTCACTGACTTTTTTTACATGCTTTTATGTTACTACATTGGAATTTCTTTTTTAAAGTTATCTTCAGAAAAGATATCAACTCTTCTCAAAGTAACTCAGAAGTATTCATGGTAAAGAATCTAAATCAGAAAGTATTGACAGGCTGAAGCTTTCCTCTTACCTAAGTCATCTTCCCCAGGGTCAGCTTTAAAAATATAGACTTTGATAACTTCAGGACAAGTGCCATCCACTTTACAAGGATCAATTTCTGCTTCTGTGCCCATAGTTATTCCAGAGGTACCATCATGTCCCAGTTTGCCAGGATCATCCACTAAAAAGGCAGGATACATCACAAATAACAGCAGTATATGCTTAAATAAAATGTTAGTTTTCCAAAGCTCTTTCTGGAAATATCATCTTAACTTGCTTCATACAACATTGGATGACTTCATAAAGAACTAAATGATTCAAAAAAATACATTTTCAAAAGAGTTTTAAAAATAAGGACATTTTAAAAAAGTTATTTCATGTAAAGAAAATAATTGTAGTCTACAAAAGTAACTAAAGTAATGAAAGGATATACTTTGCCTTTGCTTATCTATAAGGTAAAAAAACACTACTATATTATAAATGTCGTTACAACACTTACAAGAGATGACACTGGAAAGAACATCCTAGCAGTAAAATCAACAATCTAGTCTTCATATAAACATATTATCAGCACTACTTCAGGGTCACTATTTATGAACAGTTTTTGTTCTTATCTACTTCCATTAGATTGTAAATTTTAAAATAATCAAAACATGACTAACAGAAAAGAACACTGAAATAGAAAATGTCAATGTAAAATCTAATACCAGGTTTAAACACACATACAAAACAAATGCACATACATTCAAGTTCATGATGATACTGTTCCTAACTGGCAAATGCAGCAAAATACATATTAAAAGTTTTTCTATGTCTTAATGAACACAGCCTGTTTTATGGTTATTTTATTTCTTATAATAGGTCACCCTTAGCAACAGAAGTACATGTAATTTTCAACAGTACAGACTTGGGAATATACAGGGAATCTCCAGGTGGTGCCAACAGTTAAATGCTCGACTACTAATGAAGTAGGTGGAGGGTCAACGAAAGAGGGGGCTGCCTGCAACGGGATGGACTGACACGGTGGCTGCGATGATGGGCTCAAGTATAGCAGGGATTGTGGGGCTGGTGCGGGATTGGGCAGTGTTTCGTTCTGCTGTGCATGGGGTCACTATGAGTCGGAAACGACTCGACGGCACTTAACAACAACAACAACAACAACTAATGAAAAGGTTGGTGGCCTGAATGCACCCAGAGGTGATTTGTAAGACAAGCCTGGTGATCTGCTTCCAAAACGTCACACAATCTTAAAAACACTGTGGAGTTCTACTCTGTACATACAATACTGTCATGAAATTAAAATCAAATTAATGGCAACTAACATCAACAGTGAATAGAAAATACTATGTACTTCATGCTCTACAGTAAATTTGATATTATGCTTAGAAACTGGAAAATTAGCAAAAGTAAAAAATGATGCCTTATGACAATAGAGTTGGATTGAATTAAGTACTAAGATATATTACCACAAAGTAAACAAGAAAACAGGATCTCTGAAAGATAACATGTTAAGTAAAGTGGAACATCAGTGAAAAAGGGGAAGACCCTCAACAAGATAAACTGACACAGTGGCTACAATGATGGGCTCAGGTATAGCAAGGACCGTGAGGATGGTGCATGATGAGTAGTGTTTTGTTCGGCTGTATATGGGGTTGCTGAGTCCAAGACAACTCAACAATACCTAACAATGATAGCCACCCTTAAAATCAGAGATACGTATAACAGCAAAAGTAGCCAAAAATATGTGGGCATATATGTAGGCATGCATATGTATAATCCACTAACCCACTGCTATTGAGTCCATTTTGACTTATAACAACCCTATCAGACAGGGTAGAACTGCCCCCTAACAGTTTCTAAAACTGTGAATCTTAACAGGAGAACTCTACATCTTTCTGTTGTGGAGTAGCTGCATGGTTCAAACAGCCAAACTTTGGTTAACTACCAAGCACATTACTACCACACCATCTGGACACCTTAAATATGTGTATATGTATGTACGTGTGTATATATGTGTGTGTGTATGCATATCCTTATACATCTACATGTGCACGTATATCCTCATATAAAGACATACCTGGTTTTATTTTATGTTGCTTTGTTCTATTTCAGGTATTGTGTTTGCTGAGTAAGTCTACTGGCATCATTTTTCACACAGCGTATGCTCACTTCACGTCTCTGTGTCCTATTTTTGTTAATTTTTACAACATTTCAAACTTTTACCATAACATCATAGTAGGCATTACACCATACAAACTTTTATGTGCACTGGAAAACCAAAAATATTCATGTGGCTCACTTTATTGTGATATTCACTTTATTGCTCTGGTCTGGAATTGAACCTTCAGTATCTCCAAGGTGAATCTATGTATAAAGCACATAAAGAGTACATGTACACTTACTTCTCAGACATACCCAAACACCTCATGGTTAAGTTTCTGGGAATGGGATGAAGACCACAGTCTCATGGGACACTGTAAGTCAATTGGGCATAATATAATTCATAAATTATGTGCTACATGTGTGGTAGTTATGTTTGTGTATCAACTTGGCTGGGTCTGGTTGAGTGGCTGGGCAGGTGGTGGTAGTTATTTGCCCTATGATGAGACTGGCAATCTACTCCATGGTGGGATCTACAACAAGCAGCTAAGGAGCTGCCTTGGGGATGTGTTCTGCTTCCTGTATGTAAGGAGAAGCCTTGGGAATGGTTTCTAGCCTACGACACGCTTGGACCCTGTATGTAGCCATGTCATTTCTCATCATCCTGCTATGCTCTGCTGACCTTGGGACTTAAATGGACCTAAGTTAATGGCCTGCTGTGTGGTTAGGTAACATCAGGACTGTACCTTTTTACTTGTCAACCTTGGGGCTTCTCAGCCTTAGCAGCCAGCAGCTGTCTGGGTGAAGAAATGCCTCTAGCTTCAGTAGGCCGGGAGGAGGCGGCGGAACTAGACCCCGAGGTTGAGGAGCTTTCACCCAGTCCCTACAGCCTGGCACTTTGAACTTGCACTTAAAGCCTCCAAATTTTAACAACAAACTCCTGTTTAAGACCCTCCCGTTTGTGGTATATTTCTGTCAGAGTGGCAATAAGTAACCAGAACTACATCCTAGTTTGGTGAGCAATGTTCAGGGTCTTAAAAGTATGAATGCCACCATATATTAACCACTGGTCTCTACTTGTCCAGAGCACACAAAAAAAGGAAATCAAAGATTCAAAAAAGAAACCAGTTTATAGGACTAACAGTCTACACAAAACAAGGCCTCATCTATCCTAAAACCACGAATTGGATGGGACCTGACAGAATGGGAGAAATATGTGGAAAAGAACCAAAAATTTCTTAAAAAAAAAACCAGACTTACTGGACTGTTCGAGCCTGTAGGACTCCTGACATTAATGCCCTGAGACAGTCTTCAAATTGTGAACCAAAACTAATCTTCAAGGTTACCTCGTAGCTAAGTGTGTATGACACCTATCACCACTCATCTGTTAGGCTGCTATACTGTGGTAGCTTACTTGTTGCTGTGATGAAAGAAGCTCTACTACAAGAATTTTAAATACCAGTAGGATCACCCATGGTGGACAGGGTTTCAGTGGAGTTTCCAAACTAAGACAGACTAAGAAGAACAAACTGATTAGGTGCA